CAAACATCGGTTTGTACGGTTTGTACGGTTTATACTGGCGTCTATAGGGAGAGGGGTCAGCTGACTTTTCTATTGGTACTACTTCATCTTCGTCACTCATTTCGCCTCCATCATCGTCACTGTCGAATGCTCCATCGTCAAACTCCTTATTTTCGGTTGCCACGTCGTTTTCACTGAGTGCAGGAAAAAAAATTGCAAAAGATAACCGTCAACGAATTGTTTGTTTATAAAACTGCTCTAAATGGGGACCTCTATAATCTATAACATGGTGAGACCACAACACTGGGAGCTACGATCCCCATTCTTGGCGAGAAGTGTGTGGGTCCTTTAATATCGCCGTGCTAATCAGTACAGAGAAGATGCAGGAAACATCTTATCACCTTATCTGAGAAGACTGGAACGTATAACCACTTGCAGATGTTACAGCAAAGGCAGCGAATTCTTTTCAGCTATCTTAAGAGCCTGATTGTTGCTTGGCAGATTAAATTTCACAAAAGTAAAATTTTCCCACTGTGAACATTTGACTGTGGAAGTTTTCAAAACTATAAGTCTTGCTTAAGTAATCAGAAGTATTTTAATCTTACTCAACGTACCTTGTAAGGATTGCCATATCCGCGTCCTGCAGGTCTTCCTCGTCGAACTCTCCATTGTTCGCTCTCATGTCGTATCCCCTGAGACATAAAGGAAAAAAAAAATCATGAAACCATTACCACTACTTTTTTTCTGACTTTCTATTTCCTGATTTTTATCAAAGTCTTTTATAAATCTCAATTACCCCACGCTAAGATAATTCCAAAAGCTAATCGTGAACGAACTGGTTCTTTATTTGTTCATTTATTTGTTATTTTAAAATGGCGACTTGTATAAACATAACCAAGGTTAGACCACAACACTGGGAGATATGTTTCCTACTCTTAACGAGAACTGCGTGAGGTTCTTTAACGTCGCTTGTGCAGAGAAGATGCAGGAGACGGGGCGTACGGTTTAGGATTGTTATACTAGAACCAAATCTAACCATTTCCTCCACGTACCTTCTAGGAATTGCTTCATCGTCGTCCTCTAGGTCTTCCGCAACGAGCTCTCCATCATTCTCTATCAAGTATTCTTCACTAAAAACATTTAAAATGCAAAACAAAACCATTGCCACTGCGACATAATAATTAATTGTTAAATGAGGCCGAGGTTCGAGTTTCACAGTTCTCACTAATTCCATTGAAACCTTTCAGAATCGTCAAGCAGAATGAAGCAAAGCAAATAATTCATTTACAAACTTAACTTTTGATTCCATGGTTTTTAAAGAGCAAGTGAGTCTTGCAAATGCCTGATGATTTAATTAGGTTGCGTTCGAAGGACTCAGTGGTGAAAAATGGGAAGTAAAGATGAGTCTAATCTTTAGTTCCCGACGCTAGCCCAATGAATCGTCATTGGTAGAATTTCCTTATCATCTAGTATTCCTTTCTTTTTCCTGGAGAAACAGGAGAAACTCTGTAGATGTATCGCCTTTATAAAGCCTATTTTGTTGTTCTTTTCATCATTTGATTTATAGTTATTTTCTTCATCCAACTTACCCTCGAGGTTTTTCTGCTTCAGATGCATCTGCCATTTTGGTCAACGCATTCTCAGTTGTTGCGACTGAAAAGCCGACAGCGAGCACAAAGCCAAATAAAGCCAAACTAACAGTTGTCTTCATTTTGACTTCCCCGTTAGAACTTGACTTCTCCAATAAAGAAAGCCCCCAAAATCACTGCTTTTATGCATCCGATTCTGGGTGATATTAAAATTCATTTTTCGTTCAGATCCCCATATCACCCTGTATCTGATCATGGAATACAGACTCTTGAAATCCTTTAATTAAAAATAGACTAAGAATGCACTATTCACCCTAAAAGGTAAAAATATCAATGGACCCGCCAAAATGTTCGTCTGTTATGTAATATCATCAGATAAACCATATAGTTTGAGAATATTTATTACTTTAAATCCCTAATTCTCTCCAAATAATTTCTTTGAGGTTTTAGTTTAATTTATTTTACTGCTAGAAACACTTATAGTTAAATATCAGGAAGACGGTTCATATTTCTTGTTTCAAAGTGATTATGCCATGTATACCAAGTGTGAACTGAATATTGTTGCTCTGCAGCCCGTGTTAGGAAAACAAATGTTCTAAATTTGAATGAGCTGGTTACTTTCACCATATAATAAGACAGATATCACCAGTGAACTAGCGAATGAACTTTAAATTTGTTTAACTTATCATAGCTGCATAGTTAGAAGTATACTGAATTTCAAGTTCATTACAAATTAAAATTAAAACGTGAATAATTACGTTAACAGAGACTCGCTGATAATTTCTTCTGCCTTTTTGATGTTGGTGCTTATGTGAAGTGGAATATCAAAGAGATCTCCAAGGAATTAAGGTCTCGCTTTAATTCACATCAAGTATGAAGTAAAGGAATTTGGTTCACCGTTGTAGAGTTATCGTTCTGATTTCTTCCTGAGAACTTTTATTTGGGAAAACCACTTTTTAAAAGTACGCAGACACCTAAATTGAGAACTCTATATCCAAAAAAGATGTATTACGTGGATGCTGAAAATATAACGTAATTGGTAATTCATTTAATATGCCAGCAATCAAACCAATACAGGACTTACGATGTCAAAAGGATACAGCTCGATATGGTTTATCACGTTTGCAGTCAAATTCCCTTTGGTTAAACAAATTTACTGATTTTTTTTTCCAGTTAAAAGATGAAAACGTCTTTGTTTGTTCATGTTTAATTTTAATGAAAAAAAAAAAGGTTTTTCAATATTTTAACTTTTTTTTTTATGGAGGTAATTGTACTTTATCATGTTTTTGGCGAGACAATACTGTTTCCGCCCGTCAACGCTTCATTTCATCAACAATTTGCCAGACTGCAAATTATTTTTTCCTTTGATTCGTCATTATCTATGATATATTTAGAGACAGTCGCAACAATAACCTTAGTGTCAATTTCCTCTTTCTTTATATAAATATGGTAAGAAAGGAGATTCTATATCATTGTTTGTTCATTGAGGTATGGCAGATCACGTTATAAAGTCGAAAGTGTCACCCGCACTTGCCGACGACTTTAGTGTTCCACTTTTCTCCTCCAATCGCAATTGATGTTAATAGAGGACTTAAAATAAACAGATGCACGGAAACAAGATATTAAAATTTAAACTTCTCAACTTCTACGAAATAAATTTCTGATATTCATGGAAATAATACGTTGATGATCATGGAAAATATATCCGGTTGAGAAGAGACAGATAAACACTGCAGCCAGAACAAACTAGCTTGTGTCATGAGAGACATGTGTTGTTAGACCCAAAATAATTTGTTTCAAAAGACATTCGTACCACATTTTTAACCGCATATCTTCCCATTTTTTATTCCCTACGGATAAGAATTTTCTTTCCCCTAGAATCCTAATCATTCATGTGAGAATGTTCTTAATCTTACAGGATGCTTCAAAGTGATATCAGAACGAGGTTAGGAAAACGGTGTTTTCGTTCTTAAAACTGCTTTTCGAAATTTTTGTGATCGATGACCAGTTCAGCAATTTTTGATGGACTGGAAACAGAGTTTGAGCCATATCAGTCAAAACCAGATCGATAGAAGAAATAAGTAGAAACTAGTGTATCTAAAAAAAAGTAAAGCTGCGGCACACTCTTTCGACATTGACAAAATTTACACAGTGATTCATCCATCTGTTTTTTCCAAAACTTACATTGAGAAATATATCTCTAAAGTTATTGTCTGCGGGAGAGAAAGTATACTAAAGACAGTAACGATCCAATCCGGCTTTGCTTAACCTCAAGAACATTCAGATTGGGAAATGACATCTTAAAACTAACCCTTATTATCATATCACATTGGAAAGTCATTAAGAGATATCCTAATACAATTTTAATTTTGATATATCAACAAAGTTGAAATAGTAAATTGGCCACCGTAATGATTACAAAAGCTGACGTTTCGAGCGTTAGCCGTTCGTCGGAGCGAACGTCTACATATCAGCCCGTCTACATATCGCTCCGACGAAGGGCTAGCGCTTGAAACGTCAGCTTTTGTAATCATTACGGTGGCCAATTTACCATTTCAACTTTGTTGATATATCCAAATTATTTCGTTACTCCCACCGACGCAGCCCCAAATAGTTTCTTTAGAAACTATCAGCCTTTATTAAATTTTAATTTTGATGCAGAAAATTTTAAAGCGCTAGCGAAAGGCAGGAGTCGCACAGGCGCTACACACACCATCGGTCAACTGCCTTTTCCTTTCGAGAATTGGAGAATCCGCTTTCCCTATATTCTTTTCCAATCCTGATTGTGAAGCAGTTCGCTCGCTACGCTCGCTGCGCAGCAAAAAAATCTACCTCAACTATGACCCAAAAGAAAAAAAATCAAAATGAAAAAAATATCAAGAAGAACAAAAACAATAGAGCCAGGTATAAGTGAACTTTGAATTCTTTACTTTTATTGACTTGAACTTATAGGAAATCACAACTTTTTCTCCCCGTTTTATTTTAGAAGTGGAACAAGCTGTCTCAGCATGAGTTGTCCTAAGATCTCTCCATACATTTTCGAGTTGGATATTCATCGAGACCTGCAGGGAAGAAAAAAAATCACACATGGCTACTGATGAAGGTCACTCTTTATCCTTTACACTCTAAAGTCAGCACCATGTATATTTTCCATACCCTTCCCTATACATTTCCAAAAAACTAAGAAGGGGAATTTGGGCAAACATCAGGAGCTGCAAGTGGCATTCCTTTTTATTTATTTTTCCATTCCAGTTACCTTCACCAAACCTCTGTTTATTCTAACATCTTCGTTCACCGCGAAACCTACGACAAAACCGAGGTTGAATGCTTTGCCCCGTCTTAACCGTCAACGCTGTCTGAACCGGCGTCTAAAGCGGAAAGGGTCTGCTAACTTTTCTATTGCTCCTACAACATCTTCGTCACTAACGTTGTCTCTATCATGATCATTGTCGAATGCTCCTTAGTCAAACACCTCGTGTTCAGTGACCACATCGTTTTTACTGAGAGCAAGAAAAAAGGAATTGCAAAAGATAATCGTGGACAAACTGGTATTTTATTTGTTCATTTATATATTTATTAATTTGTGATATGTAGACGGGCTGACTCAGTTCAGCATTTAAGCTGGTTTAAATGGACGCCTCTCTTTGCGAGAAGTGCGTGGAATTGTTTAATCACCAGCACAGAGACAATTCAGGAGAGAGCCTAGGGTTTAGCACCGTTAGCCGAGAAGCAAGTCTAACCATTTCCGCAACGTACCTTCTGAAAATTACCTCTAGGTCTTCCCCATCGAACTCTTCGTCGTTCTCTGTCATGTATTCTTCACTAAAAATATTTAAAATGCAAAGTAAAATTATTGTCGCTGTCACACAATTCAAAACTGCTAACATATCGAAAGAGAAAAACATTTATAAAAGTCTAAAAAGAAAGCTGTCAATAAGCTTAATATTGATAATGATAATAATTAAAAATTTATAACGCGCCTTTCCCATGCAGATATGATTAAATGAGGCCGAGGATCGAGTTACAGCGTTCTCATTATTTCCATTGCAACATTTCAATTAGTATCAGCAAAGTCCATTTACACAAAAATAATTCATTTATAAACTTAACTTTTGGTTCCATGATTTTTAACAAGCAGATGTTTATAGAGTGAGTTGTCCAAATATGCCGAAGATCAATGGTAAAATGGAGATAGGTCTAATTCTTAGTTCCCGACGCAAGCTCAATGGATCCTCTGATTGAGCATTGAAGATTTCTTGTTAGAATACTAACCTAGACGACTCCACGAGACTTTTGAAATGAAAATCAATGTACTTAGTGCTTTCGATAAACTGAATTTACCTCTGACAGCATTAGACAAAGCAATTGAGAACTTTCGTCCAAAGCAAGGTCAGTAGACAAGTTAAGCACTCTGGCCCACTAATGGATTTCAGACAAAACTGTCACAATTCGGAAACTCATCCCTACAGCTTACTCCTAAATAACTACGGACTTTGAATTCATGCATAGAAACCAAATTCTAATCATAAAAGACTGATTAAATTATACTGATCAGACTATCTAATCGAAACTGACTGACCAACTAAACTAACTAAAATTACGTCAAAACAGTTTTAACTTAGGTTTAGGGCTTGAATTTCATTTTTACGGTTTAGAAGGAAGTGCAAATTCTTCTATGGCTCCTGAAGTGTACGCTCTCTTAGGCGAGTTGGTGTATGTTGCCTCACCGACAGATACATAAAATATTTTTTGATATCATACGTGATATTTAAAACCACTGATCATATGGGCATGGCATATGCTAATAAAATTTATTTTTATTAAAATGAAATGGAATTAAGTGTCGCCATCTCCAAACGAAAAAACCAAGAAGAAATTCAATGAGTAAACACTATCAAACTATATAGTTTTCAACATCAATACACAACAGAAGAACATTTGCTAGGACGATTCATTGCGATTTTGCTAAGGAAAATTAGTTGCCTTCTCTAATAATAACATAATTCAATGGAGACGCAAAAGGTACATTTTGAGTAGCCGTCACTTTAATCTAACTCTTCTTACCGTATTTCCTCGAACCTCATCCGATTCTGACCCGAGGTTATTTATTGGTTGTTTCGGGGCGTCTTCGAAGCCCGACATTCACGTTAAAGATTATTGAGCACATCACACTAAAGAAAGAAGAATGCCTTTTGAAACGAATTAGTTTTTTGGACACAAAATTCAAATATTTTTTCAGTTCATACCATGATCAGCCACAGAAGGCGAGCGACATCTTACAATCATTTCACGATGGCCTCTCACCGACGCGTGATTTAAAACAAACTAAACTTTTCCTTGTAGAAATATCTTAACAGGTGTGTGATCGGCGTATTATGAAATCATACAGTAGGAAAACATTTCTTCATAGAGAGAGCATTTTACCTTTTAATTAATTAATCAGCAAATTTCCTTGACTGAAATGAAAATGTCTGTTACGAGGCAAGATATATTGTTCTCACTGCAATGTTTCATCGTCTCTTCTATACCACAAATATTTTCCGCGATTATTAAGGAGTCGCTATTTTCAGTCTTACTTCTTAAACTTTCCTCTTTCATTTCTTGAAAATCTGTTTGAGCTAAACAAAGGAGCCTTTTTAACTTAAAATATGACTATTTTTGCGTTAACAAGAGCAGCAGCTGTCTTTGTACCGTTTGCAAACAGTACTAAAATTAATATTGAGGTTTACACCAATAGCCTGGCCACTAGGTTTTCTTCAAAATAGTCACATCTATTTTCGAATCATTACCACATTTAGTAGTAGTTTTCGAACGGTTAGGTTACCTTTGGAATCTCAACACGCAGTTAGTAGGGTTTCACTGCAACAAATCTGAACTCGCAGTAAACAAGGTTTAGCTTTCCCTGGCTATAATTAGTTTGGAAACGCGCGAGTCGAGCAAAAATCGAATAGCAAACGTAAATACAGTTTGGGGAGAGCACAAGGAGTGGCTAATTACACAGCCACATATTGTGCTCTCTTAAAATAAAGTATTGGTCCAATATTTCTTATCAGATGGTAGGAATAATGTGCACGCAAATAAATAGTTGTATTTTGGTTATCTAAGTGATATACCTAACGACTATGATCATATAAATATATCCTGTATTTGAACGTCAGATTAATAAATAAAGATGATCATCGTAGTTATGAACACTATTTAAGCAGTAGCGAAAATAAGCCTGAAAATAAGTATTTAGGCTCTTACGAGATTTGAGCCCACGACCTTTGCGATACCAGCGTAGTGCTCTACAAACTGAGCTAATAATCTGGGTCATTTTGGTTGCTTTGTTATAAACACGTTAGCGAGAAGGTTGCATACTCAAGGAAACAATTCATATTTGCTATTTCAAAGTAATTTATCACTGTACATGTATCATTGCTGAATAGATGAATAAAAGAGAAGTCTTATAAATAGCATCAATGACAACTGTTTCTCTCTCTCTTTCTCTCTCTCTCTCTTGTTTTCTCTCTCACTCTCTCTCTCACTCTCTCTCTCTGTCTCTGTCTCTCTCTCCCTCCCTCTCTCTCTCTCTCTCTCTCTCTCTCTCTCTCTCTCTCTGCAGATTGAAAATAGGGCATTTTTGGTAACTTCAAGTCTCTTTCGGATATCTTGCGTAAATAACATGATTACATCGTCCTGAGTAGTTCAAACGCTTTTATGCAGAATCTACAACACTCTGTTAGAATTTTGCGGTCAACCGTATCAAAAACAATTTTTTACAAATTTTTAAACGTTTCAAAGGTTACGAAACTTCCCTACTCCGTGGAAAGTACTTTTTAATTGCATTTCAACTCAAATTTTCATTGATGAGATAGATATCCGACCCATTTAGCATATTTTGGGCATTCACTCACTTTCCACAACTAAATATTTTGGGAGCAATTCACAGCCCAAAAAAATTTAGTAAGATTGTATGTTTTGTCATAGACAAGAGCTCACTTCGAAACCTTTCAACATTTTAAAACTCAACTTTGCTGCTCTAAAGTCAAATTCTCACCTAACTTGTAGCGATTGAGGTTTAAAACAGTTTATATGAAAACAACATTATTTTGCCTAATTGTGGCACACAAAAAAACTTAAAGAAAAATTTTTTTCGGGGAAATTTTGGAAGTTTGAAGGGAAGAGACTTTGCCGGGTGACATAAGTGCCCTATTGTACTAATTTTGAATGATAACAAATTACCTAAAGCCCTTGAATAAACGTTATGTGCCTGAGTTATTTATTGAAAAACAAGCTTTTATTCCACAGCACTTGTGTTACCAAATGTTTTTTCCGTTGGCGAGAAGGAGTGATAGATATTTGCAACGAGGATTAGGGCACTTTTGTAACGATCAACGTATGCCACATAAACCGTTGATAACTCTGCTGGTGGCTTTCCAACGAATAAAACAATTCATGTTATTTGTGTTTCTATCAAAAAAACCCCGTTTAACTCATGTGAATTATTGTTCTTTTATTTGATGACAGTCTTCATAGGGGTATGCCCAAGTGGGGTGGGTGGGGGTGGTTGACATGACGGTCAGTCTATCAGTTGTACTAAAATGCGTAATAAGAGGTTACGCTTGATTCGCAGCCGCCATTTTCCGATCGGACTGAAAAGCAGCACAAATTGAGTTCAATACCCTGTGAAAAGCCAACGGATTGGTATAAGACGGCAGTTTCCTCAAAAGTATGCTGATTAATGTTGTCTGGTATTTATCTGCTGTCGAAATGTCATTCAGCTGCCTATATATATTTATAACGTATTTACATGGTATTGTCAACAATACTACAACCAGCCTACTTGCCGGCTTTTGGTCAGTGCTCCATTCCCGGGGAAGAATTCCATGTGAACTCTACGAAAGAGGTGGAGCCTGGAAACTCGTGGGTAAGTATCAGAATAAAATTCCTAAAACAGCCCAATCTGGGCAGTTTCACCCCTCCCTTAAATAAGTCATTATAGTAGGAAGGAGCAAAAAGGAAAGCAAGCGCGAAAAATATAGAATGAGGCCGGAGGGGTAGAAACTGGAACAGAAACTGGAACAGAAACTGGAACAGAAACTGGAACAGAAACTGGAACAGACTGACACCATGATCAAACAGACAAGCAATTAATACAAGCTATCCATTCAGGGTCGTAACAAGGTATATGAGATCAGGGATCAACGGCTTAGGGGTGGGATCAGGGGTCACAGCCCCGGGATCTGGGATCACAACACTTGGGATCGGGATCAGCAGTTTTTTTTGTGGAATCAGGGATCAAAATTGTGAACGTTTTTGGGATCAGAGATCAAAATTCCCAAATGTTTTTGTCATCAGGGATTAAAATTCTCAACGTTTTTGTGATCAGGGATCAAAATTTGGGGCAAAAATACAGGATCAGTTATGAAAAAATATACCTTGTTACGACCCTGATCCATTTCTTTGCCTACATCCCCAAGTGATACCTGAATTAGCCCAGTTCTGGCCCTCCCTTTGTCACACACAACTGAACATAATACCTATATGCGTGAGAAGGTTGGGATTCTGCCGTAAACAAACTGAACAACCTTGTGATACCAAATCTGGAATTTCATCTGAGCTAAAGGAGGAGACGAACATTCGCCCTCCTTAAAAAGTATCCCCTCCCTAGCGCTGGGGTGCCTTCGGCTTGAAATCATAGCTGATGACACATCGGTACTCATACTTGAATGGGTAACTGCAGCAGAATCACGTGTTTGGAGATTTTGTGACATTTCGTGTACATCAATATTTTACCGTATTTGAGGAGCCAAAACTCGCTGATACAAGGTAAATATCTTAGCAGTATACCCTTATTATATAAATAGGCTTGTAGGATAAACGCTTATTGCTTAAAACCGTAAAATTCGAGTTACAAACTAATGCATGCACAACTTTTTGTGCAGTGTACAAAAGAGGTTTCTTTTACAGGTCACATTTTACAGGTTAAGACTACAGATCACTGTTTTGTGGATTAGTAACTGAGTCAAAGAGTTCTTCCTTCTGTCTAAAATACATTTTAGTTAGCGATCAGAGCTTCACCCTCTGACCTGTATTTTGGCCTGTGAAATGTGACTTGTTAAAAAGCATTATTTATAGGTATGCATACATTGTAAATCACTCCTAAAACAAGTGAAACAATTCACAGAGGTGCCAACCTCTGAAGATTTTAGATCTGGAGATCTGTCTTTTTTGTGCCAATTTCCCCTTCTGAACTCACCATATTCTCACCATATTCATTATATTTGGCACACCAAATGCAAATATCAACTTTTATCAACATATTCAACTAAACAAAGACAATTATTGACAAACATCAAGCACAATCGACTACTCGGGGAAAGGCAGCAGCTTTTCAAACTGGAAAAGAAAACAATATATCCTTGAACATAAACAATACCCCTAGCCCTAAAACAAAAGAAGCTACTGCTTATCTTATCTTGTAACACCCTAACAGAAGAAAAAAAGATTGTAAATTGTGAGAGAGATGTTTCAATCATCATGTCATATACAAGGTTATTCAGTGAATAAAATCATCATAATTTTGCTGGCTTTTGGGTGGCTTCTCATTGGTAACTCTACATTTCTTCTTTGTCCCCACCTTTCTCATACACTATCAAGCTTAATAATATTAGTTTACCATTTTATTTATTTGAACACAAAATGGGTTCAATTTAACATGCTTGGATTCACTTGCATTTAAACTATCTTTTACAGGCTTGGTCTTCTTAATTTCCTGTATCATGGCCAGTGAAAATTTGCTCTTACAAATACAAGAGGTCAAATCTAATTTAGCCAAGGCTATGATGAGAGGGGACCAAAACCTTATTGAAAAGGTGAGTGACTCACTATTATCATAAACATTATTAATGTACCATGTATCACAATACATGTATGTTGTCAAACCATGTAAATAAACTTTGAGGCAAATATTAACGGGTTTTGAAAAATACTGACTAGTCAACTGACTGAAGTGGTAATGATATTAAATTACATCAAGTCCAACTTCTCAAAACTAATGAAGTAAATTACTTATAAAATAAGATCACCTGACCAATGTCAAAGATGATTGATCTGCTTCACGCCATTGTTTCAACTTATTTTATCACAAATGTGAGTCTTTGCCATAAACAAGAGGCCAATATATCACAACATTACAATGTATCAACTTCGGTGGACAGAATTATTATTTTCAAAGCCCAGAACCTTGTATGAATTCAATAAAGCTTTTACAAGGTGTAATTTTTAAATTACACTTGTGAAAAAGGAAAAAAGACAGTTGCTAGGCTTGTTGTAAACAATGCAACGCAATACACTGTAAACTGAGCAAGGCAGTATAAGCAATGTGAGCAATGAATTAGTTTTAACTAAGGACAACATACTCATATGTAATAAACTAGAACTATAACAACCCCAACCATGTGTGGTCAACGGTCGGAGGTAAAAGATGTTTATGTGTCTTCCGGCCCAAATATTGTAATTATTTATTTCTTGTAACTTGGCTTGCTAGTCTTTTTAGCTATCTTCTTCTTTTAGGAAGCCAATACTACAGTGGCCCAGAAGGCTCCAACACAAACAAAAAAAGGGGGTTGCAGGATATTGCGTATAGTGCGCAGTTTAAAAGATATTGTGTATGTTGTACAGTTCACAACTTTTGGTCTCTTGCGTTGCGTTACGTTGTTCATACTTGCGTATATTGCGTTGCTCAGTTTACAACATATTGCGTTGTGCAGTTCACAGCAAGCCGTATAACAGTGTGTATGGACAAAGTGTAATCTTAGTCTTTGTATACCGGCAGCTGCACTTATCATTTAACTTGGATTTTTAATACATTTTAATTCATTGCCTTCTGTACTGCAGCACAGGAAACACCTCAAAGACCTCTGTAGTGACTGGGCGGCTCAAGCTGACTACAGTGGGGAAGATTTAAGTGATGAGGATATGTACGCTCCATCTAGTTGTTCGGAAGCTTCCGAGGAGTCTTCAAGTACTGATGGATGGGGCAACGTCGAAGAAAATAGAGAGAATCAAATACATGGTGTAGTCGAGGAAAAAGTTAAAACACCAGCGAAAAGAATTGCACGTAGATGTCCATTAAAAGGCTGCAAGTCGAAAGTCATCCATCTTCCGCGGCATTTAAGAGAAGTCCATAAATGGAGAAGGGAAAGAGCAAAGAACGCGACCTCTAGTTTTGGGGTAAGAAAAAGTTTTTTTCCAAAGCCTGTGCAGCCAGAAGTGTCTGTACAGCAGAAGAAGAAGGATTATCACCGCCACAGACCCTGTCCTATTGCAGGATGCCATTCTGTGGTCAAGCGCCTCCCTAACCACATTCAGCAAGTCCACAAGGACATAAAAAAGGGTTCTGTTCGCTACAAACAAGTTTTACGACAAGCGCGCTCCCTCAAGACTTGGACCCCTTTGAATGCAGATTTAGACAACCCAGAAGTGGAATATGCAGCCATGCCGAACAACACAGAACATAGGGAAATGATAGATTTGGATGTACAGTTGCATGAAGAAAACGAAGTGGAGTTCGTAGAAGATAATGATGGAGAGGACGAAGAAGAAATTTTCAGAGCTTTTTGTCAGTGGTTACAAACAGCAGATGGTGGAAGGAGGGATAGAAAAATGGCCAAGCAGCATTCCTCGCAAGTTCGCAAGATACTTGTCATAATTGACCCAGAGAAAAGGTTGTCCTCTCTCTTTAACAAAAATTTGATTCGGGACAAGTTTCTGGTAGATTATGCAGAGAAAATGTACAAGCCAGATACCGTGAAAGCTCACTTATTAAGTCTTAGGAACTTTTGCTCCTTTGTAAAAACAGAGGAACCATCAAGTGTAACGGTTGATGTAGCCACGATCGAAAAAATTGAAGAAAAAGCGCGTCTATGGTCATCCTCCTACAAAAAGGATAGTAACCGCAGACATTTGGAAAAACAAAATGAAGACCTTCAAAAGTTGGTTACACCAGAAATGGTGTCGCAGTTCGAGAATAGTGAATCAGCAAGAACTGCAGTTGCTTATATTGGCCAACTGAGTGGAGCACATTCAATTCAAGTAAATCAGTCTATGTACACTCTTATAAGAAATTTCATTCTAACTGAAATGACAATTGCAAATGCTCATAGGTCTGGCGTATTAGCCAACATGACCATGGATGAGTTCCTGAAAGCCAAGAAGACCAGTCAAGAAAGCGTGTTGATAAAAGTAAAAGATCACAAGACAGCAGACACACATGGACCCGCCCGTGTTGTGTTGTCGCCAACTTTATTCTCATATCTCAAAGTCTATGTCAATGAAGTGCGGAGTCTTGTGCAGAAGGACAGCGACACGTCATCGTCTGTTTTCTTGTCATGGAATGGAGTAAAGTTACAATCGGGACAGATATCAACCGCCATAGATGCTGCATGGCAGAAGGCAGGGATGGAGGGACATGTTTGCTCCACAATATTTCGGAAATCGACCGTGACAAAGGTGCATGAGGATCACAAAGACTTGAGAGATGACCTGGCTGATCTGATGGGCCACAAAACATCCACAGCAGAAAGGTTCTATCGCCTTCGTGAAAAAGAAGAAGCGTGTATCGAAGCAGCCAATAACCTTACCTCCATCATGAGAGAAACCCAGGAACCTGTGTCACAACCTAAAACACCAGCAACAGCTACCAAGAGCTTGTCCCAAACGAGTTTCAAAAGGGATCGTCTGTCATGGAGGGAAGAGGATGTAAACGCCATGAAAGATCTCTTTTCAGAGGAAATTAAAGAGAAGTGTATCACGATAGAAGTTGTCAGGAATAAAATACGAGACCATCCCACACTAATGCAACTGAATGACAAGAGAGTGCTCGACAGAATTAGAAGTGAATGGCGGAACAGTGATCTCGCGGATGAAGAAGCTGCAGGTACATGTAGTATGCCTACAACTAGGCTTCCTGTCCAGACAGAAACTCTTTCCGATAAAATGGGCCGCTTCTTTGAAGCTTGTGATGAATACAATACATGCAGCTCATCAGACGTTGTTGGGCCGTCAAATTCAAGCTACCTTAGCCGATGTATTTTCAGTGATGAAGACAAAAAGTTCCTTTTGCGGGTGTGTGGTGGTATGGTAAGGGGAGGTGTTATTTCAAAGCCTGAAATTAAGAAATGTCTTGAAAGACAAGAAGAAGGGAAGGAGCTTCTCAACAAGTTTACCATCAATCAACTTGTTAACCGCCTCAAATATGAAAGGCGGCTTTGTAAGCAAACGTGAAACTAAAGTTAAGGAACTTGCATGTTTGGAACTTTCAATTTTCCCGCACCTTTCATTATCAATACATATATTAACTAGGTGATAAAATTTGAAAATTAACTTTCCAAAAAGTAGCATTAATTTATCTTTGTGCTGCTATCATTATCTTTAGAGCTTGGACCTTGAACTGACGAGATTGACTTTTGGGAATTATTATTTAATAAGATGTTTGACTGCAGCCTAAAAATGCAACCCTTTGCACAAGTTTCAGAGTTTACATGCTACTGAGAGGCACACGAAAATAGAAAGCCCAGCGACACTCATGCGTTGATTTAGGGTGCTTACCAAAATTGCCCGGTCGGACCATGGCCAGTTATTTTTAAATCATGTAAAATAAGCTGTGTCGAGAGTTTTTGCTAAAACCTTTTACAGCCATTGATACTTCTCACAATTGACTCAGTAATTGGTTGGACAGTTCTGGTTAAACGTGTAATTGTCGAATAGACAGGTCTGACTGTCCACTTTTCACTAATGGTGTGAGCTCTTAGTCGTCAAATAGGTGCACTCGATTCTCTTGTGACACCATTACTTCCCAAGCGCGTAAAAATGTTGGGATCATTATGTGTTTTTGGGAAGCACCCCACCGAGTCCTCTAATTTACGCGTCAAAAGGTTAAGGTTAATATTGCCAGTTTAAATTTTTCAAAATGGAGCTTTTCATTTTCTTGTTTACAACAACAACAACTTCATTTGGACTCCACATTGATTTATATTATTCTAAAAAATACTATTAAGTATAGAGAGAGCACAGGCTGCCCATAATAACCATTGAGGGCTAAAAAGAAAGGGCTGCTTTACTTACGTTATTAATAAATGATTTTATTAAAATCATGTTTAGGTTAATAGGTAGTCCAGAAACAAAACTAATTGTTGAAAAAACCCTTCAATTGATACAGTATATTTTAAGGGATTGTTTTTTAGGTGCTTAAGGTTCAGGTTGACGTTTTCAAGTTAAATTTTGTCAGTGTCGCTTTTCGTTTTCTTGTTATGGCTAAGTAGTCCAGGAATGGGACGAATTGTTCAAGAGCCTTTTAGCTGGTTACGGTTGACATTTGCAGTTTAAATGTTCAAAAAGTCTCTTTTCATTTTCTTGTGAAGGTTACTTAGTTAAGGAACAGAAGGAATTGTTCAAGAGCCTTTTAAAAAACAGTGTTGTAAACACGGACGTAATGTTACCTACATTTAAAACAAAAATAAAGGATATTACAGTGCACAGCAGAGGTGAGCCCATGTTGACGAAGTAAGCTTATGAGAATCAGTTCACTGAAGAATAAAGGTATCCTCTGTCCGTGTTAAATGTGTCCATAGTACGCGGGTTAAATGTAAAGACAATATGAGGACATTTCCCCGGGACAACAAAACCTGTCCCTTATAACGAGGGGGCGTCCGTGAAGAGGGGTGCGATGGTACAACTGTGATATTTTTTTTCGGAACCCGTCTAATTATAGGACAAAAATGCGTACAATTAAATAAGATTTAAACTGGTTCCATAACTTGGGATCGGTCTGGAAATTATCTTTGCCATAGATAAAACGCTGGCGACCATTGAGCTTCCGGCGCTCCTTCGTTTGAATAAGACTCGGATTAAAAGGTTGCATTTTTCTGTGACATATCACAAAACAAGAATTGAGTCAGAACTGTTTTTTGGTTGCATCCCACTGCTAACATTAATAGAGAGGTATCCCTGATGTCTCCTATTGATGTTAACGTGCTAACCAGATGCTTGTTAGCTCTTGAAGCGAGGTTCTTTTGCTTCCGTGGCTGGTACATTAAAATAACAAAAGGCTTGTTTGTAAACAGATATCTTTCCTATATTCTGCAGCAATTTTTGGTTAAATTAGTTAAAAATGGAATGTCTTTGTCCAGCTGTAAAATTTCATACGGCAATCCACTATTTTGAAAACCAAACAACCTGTGTAACATCAAAAAATTTAGATTTCGTCTGATAATAATCACGTTGCAGAAGTGCCCTATTTCACGTTACCAAAGTGCCTTAAAGTTACTAAAGTGCCCTACACCACGTTACGAAAGTGCCCTGAAGGTACCGAAGTGCCCTATTTCACGTTACCAAAGTGCCTTAAAGTTACTAAAGTGCCCTACACCACGTTACGAAAGTGCCCTTAAGGTACCGAAGTGCCCTATTTTAGGTTACCAAAGTGCCCATCAATCTCTCTCTCTCTCTCTCTCTCTCTCTCTCTCTCTCCATATTAAGCTGAAAGAAAATTAAATAACTCAGAGCAGTGTTCGTTTATTAAGTAATGGCAGATCACGTCAAAAAGTTGCAAGCGTCACACTAACTTTCTTTCCCACGAGTTGTGTGCAATTTTGTTCCACCTACATTTGACGTTAAAGTGAGGAAACAGGAAATCTTCATTGAAACTTCTTAGGTACTACGAAAGATATTCCTCATATTCGAAAAAATACACTAATGATCACGGAAAATATTTGTGGTATAAAAGAGACGATAAAACATTGCATTGAGAACAATATATCTTGCCTTATGACAGACATTTTCATTTTAGCCGAGGAAATTTACTGATTAATTAAAAGGTAAAATGCTCTCTCTGTGAAGAAATGTTTACTTACTGTATCTTTTCATGATACGCCCATCACACACCTGTTAAGATATTTCTGCAAGGAAAAGTTTTGTGTTAAATCACGCGTCGGCGAGAGGCCATCGTGAAATGATTATAAGATGTTGGTCGCCTTTTGTAGTTGATCACGGCATGAACTGAAAAAATATTTCGAGTTTTGCGTCCACAAAATAATTTGTTTCAAAAGACATTCTTCTTTCTTTAGTGCGATGTGTTCAATAATCTCTAATGCGAATGTCGAGCTACGAAGATGCCCCGAAACAATCAATAAGTAACCTCGGGTCGGAATCGGCTGAGGTTCGAGGAAATACTTTGAGAAAAGTTAGATTAAAGTGACGCTACTCAAAATCTACGTTTTGCGTCTCCATTGAATTATGTTATTATTAGAGAAAACAACTAATTTCCTTAGCAAAATTGTAATGAATCGTCTAGCAAATGCCATTCTATTGTGTATTGATATAAAAAACCTTTTAGTTTGATAATGTTTACTCGTTGAATTTCTTGTTGTTGTTGTTTTTTTTTTCGTTTGGAGATGGCGACACTGATTCAATTTCATTTCATTCAAATCAAAGTGTAAGTGGACTTTGTTTATATCAATTTAAATATTGCCATGGAAATAATGAGAACGCTGTACCTCGATCCTTTGCCTCATTCGAACAATTAAGCTTATTAACATTTTTCTTTTTAGACTTTTGAAAATGTTTTTTTCTCTCAATACGTTAGCAGTTTTGAATTGTGTCGCAGCGGCAATGATTTTACTTTGCATTTTAAATGTTTTTAGTGAAGAATACATGACAGAGAACAAAGGAGAATTCGAGGAGGAAGATCTAGACGACGATGATAAGGCAATTTCCAGAAGGTACGTTGAAGAAATGATTAGACTTGCCTCTCGGATAACGGTGCCAAACCGCAGAGTCTCTCTCCTGAATTGTCTCTGTGCTTGTGATCAGGGAACATCAAAGAACCCCACGCACTTCTCGTAAAGAGTAGGGAAGGTAGCTCCCAGTGTTATGGCCTGGCCTTGTTAATGTTTGTCAGGCCTCCACTAAAACCAGCTTAAATGCTGAATTGAGTCAACCTGTCTACATATTACAAATAAATAAATAAATGAACAAATAAAGCACCAGTTCGTCCATCATTATCTTTTGTAATTCCTTTTGTCTTGCTCTCAGTAAAAACGATATGGTAACTGAACACGAGGAGTTTGTAGAAGGAGCATTCGACAATGATGATGATGTAAAAAAA